AGACGACACACATGTAACAGGAAGCAAGATCCGCGAAAAAACCCTTGTTGGTAGCAAACGAGTTTATCAAATAAGTGCGTATTAGGAGACCAGCTATTAGACATTCATTTTTAGTGAACGAGCTTAATAGCTATTCTTTACTCTTCCTATTTTCTCCTTCTTGACTGTTGTTTAAACGCTCTACTGGGTTAGCCCGATTGGTACACCCACGTCATTGTTAATGGACGCTCATCGTCATGTCCTTTTCAGCAGTGCCATTTGCAAGCACACATTCCATTGGTTTTTTCTTCTCATCACTGTTCTACTTGGTTATGTAAAAGAATATTTAGTTGTCACACGATTATTGTACTAGTTTTTTAATTTTTGGGTCTGCATTTCTTATTCGCGTTTGTTTCGTGACATTCGTTTAAACGCTTCATTTCGTTATTCTGATTGGCCAGTGCCCGTCACTGTAAATGGATGTTCGCTTTATGCTTGGAGTCCCATGACGCTATTTTAAAGGACATATGCGATTCGCTCGTGAGTATACTGTTGGCTATTCGCCCGTTGTATTTGACTTTTTTCCTTCTGTTGGTCGGCTCAAGTGTAATTTAGTAGCTTCCCTTCATTTTGCCTTCAAAACTATATAAGCAACTGTGATTTCACGTATACAAGTCCCTTCCTGGCTCGTCTTTGGACTTCTTCTTGCGGTCGTGGGGTGAAGACGTTAGCGGCGACACAACAGACTTTCTGGCGACGGAGGTTCCTGTATTCATGTTGATTTCGTTCGAGCAAATGCAGACGCTTCTTCAACAGCAGCAACTGCAGTTTGAAAAATCTCAAAGACAGTTGATCGAGTTGCTATCTCAGAAGCTGAACATCCAGAGCGAATCCCCGACGACAACCGCACGGCCATCTGTGGACGCCCTTGCGGCTTCAATCACAGAATTTGTTTTCGATGGATTGAACGGATTGACATTTGAATCCTGGTTCCTAAAGTATGAAGATATTTTTCGAGTGGAACTTACAGACCAAGACGATGCCTGGAAAGTTCGTTTATTGATAAGGAAACTTGGCGCAATCGAGCATGAACGTTACACAAATTTCGTGTTGCCGAAGAAGGCAAGAGACTTCAGCTTCGACGAGACAGTGAAAACGCTGATGCAGATATTCGGTGAGCAGGCCTCTCTGTTCAGTATTCGCTACAATTGTTTGAAGTTAGTCAAACGCGATGCCATCCATTTTGTCACACATGCCGGGATTGTAAATCGCGAATATGAACGATTCAAACTAGGTATGATGACACCTGATCAATTCAAGACTCTTATTTTCGTGTGCAGTCTTCAGTCCCACGCTGATGCCGATATTCGAACATGAATTCTCCACAAGCTCGAACAAGAACCACAGTTAACGCTGCAAGAGATTACAGCCGAATGTCAGCGACTGCTTAATTTGAAGCACGACACAAAAATGATTGAAACTGCTGATCACAGGACAGAACCCCAGATTTGTCGCACAGCAATCCATGGTAAAGTGACGAACTGGAGTCGGTCAACTCAGAAGCCCCCGACCGCATGCTGGAATTGTGGCGCTTAGCATTTTGTGAGAGACTGTATCTGGAAAGGGCATCAATGTTACAAGTGCAAGCGGTTTAGTCATAAAGAAACCCACTGTCGAGTTGCGCACAATTTCAGATGCCCATTTCCCTCGAGATTGCGCACAAACATGAACTTCAAAAGGGCTACATTTCATGGATCGGCCACAAATGTAATTCTCGCTGCGTTTCGCACGGAATTTACAGGCAAGAGGAAGTATTTAACAGTAAAAGTCAATGATATTCCAGTCACCTTGCAACTAGATACGGCGTCCGGCACCACAATCATTTTACGATCCACATGGAGGAAGCTTGGGAGACCATCATTCATGCGCACAACTCTGACGGCTCAGAATGCATCCGGGGAACCGCTGAGAATAGGTGCAGAGATTGAATGTGTGGTCAGTTTCAAGTAACTGCAACTCCGTGGCACGATCTACCTAGTCTCATGCACCGACGTTAGTCTTCTTGGAATCCATTGGATTGAGAAGCTGAACTTGTTCAAGGTACCACTTAATCGTGTCTGTGCTGAAAGGAATGTCATGGTGCACCATACAGCCATACCGATTCCTTCGGGTCAAAGCATCTCTGAACAGCTTCAAACGAAGTATGCGTGTGTCTTCCAGTCGGAACTTGGACACTGTAAGAAAATGCAGGCAAAACTTACTCTGCCTCCGGATGCCAGACCAGTGTTTCGACCCAGGCTTCCTGTCCCTTATGCTTCCCAAGCACTTGTTGAACAGGAGCTACGAAAGAATTCCTAGGTCGCATACCAACACGAGCAGTGCAATCAGCCTCCAAATAAAACACACTAATCATAGCGAAGTAAACACAGATGAAGTAGCTCCGCTCTACAATAGCTCGTAAAAGAGTACGACGAAAGTATTAACCGAAACCGCCACCTATGCGCTAAAACGACAAACCATGTTACAAGGATACCTACAAAACATTTAACACAAAAGAAATATCGTACTAACAACCAAAATATAAGCCAAATT